AAATATTTTGTAATTACGTCATAAATATACATATAAATGTATATATTTTCTTTTTCTACAACACTTCAGAGTCCTAAATATGTGAAAACAACATATTTTTAAACAACATTTCATTCTGAACGGAATTAAATGCTATACTTTTTCACAGGACAGTTTTCTCAGAATGGTTAATTTGAATGAAATATTTTTCACAAGTTTTTCTTTAAATACATTAGAAAAAAAAAATTAAGGTAATTCGAGTTTATTCGGTTAAGGTGCAAAAATTAAGATCAAAGTTTATTGTATTATTAATGTTAAAATTATGCATTATTTCTTTTCTATTTATAGAGCTTCTTTCTAAAATACTTTCTTAAATATGACATGATTTTTTGGCTTCTGAGGCATCTTTTAAATCGAAAAAATGTAAGTCAATTTATAATTAAATGCTCTATTTATTATTGGTTCTATTTATTTTAATTAGAGAATTATTAGGAATTAAATAGTACTTGACTTTCTCTGAACATTTCTGAAAGGGAATAAAATAAGTTTTTTTTTTTTTTTTTTTTTTTTTTTTTTTTTTTTAAGTATTATTTAAAACTTGTAACTGAGTTATTATAAAATGTAAGGGGAATAATTCTTTTAATTATACTTATCAGATTTTTTTTTTACCCTTCATTTCAACAATGCATATTCCAAAACTCTTTATTACGTTCTTAAGTGCGCATCTCATAAAATTTGCTTTATAATACCTTTGAACAGATTGCTTTCCAATACAAACAATTCTTGCTTGAATAGTTTTATAACGTATTTGTCAACAGGATTTCAATTTATGTTTACAATTCAATATTAAGGTTATTATATATTTAGATAACATTTATAATCATTATAAATTAGATACATTTAATAATTAGATTTCTTCACAATACTTTCACAGTTGTTTATAAGTGAATAAAAAATCTTCATTTCAAATACATTTATAAATAATTTAATGAATATTTAAGTAAGTTTGTCAAAGGCAGATACATGCTCTTTGCAAGCACATGCATAAATACCCATACATATTTCCTTCCTATTTTCATTTTCCGGCATGTGCAAATCTTTAATTTCTATGCATTCACTATATTTTTCGTGTAAAGTAATTTACACTAATTTAGCATACACCCGAAAGTTTTACAATAAAAAAATATATATGAATATAATTTGAATGAAAATTATAAGTATTATTTTTTTAATACCCACTCAAAGTCAGTCAGTTTTTCTTCAAAATTCCTCCACGATGGCATCTCTCTCTCTTTAGGCAGATAGCCCTTGCATGCGTTACTCTATTTAATAAAACTTAATCTGACCTATGTGCCTAATTACAAATATTTTAACATATGTAATTTATATTTATATTATAAAACGTGTAAGCCCATAGTGATTATTTTTCAGATATATAAAATTAAAAACGATGGGTTTGTTTAAAATGAGCAGCAGTAAAGCCTCTCCTCTAAAAAATTTTAAAAGGTACATGTTACAATAATATATGGATGTGAAAAAAATTTGTTTTATTTAAAACATTTTGATGTTTGGAAAATAAAATAAAAGTAGCGAATACTCTATCAAGGGGTATCGAAAGACGTATACAATTTTAAATGTACCGTAATGTATTTTTTTTTTTTTCATTCTTTAAGCATAAACATTTTTCTTAAAATCTATATTTTTGTAGTGCGACAGCTTATAATTTTTTATAAAACAAACAAATTCATAATCAAAATCGCTGTTGTTAGTTATCGAAAAATAACCAAGATGTAATTTTTTTGCGTAAATGTCACTAAACTATAACAATTGCTATTATCCATCACACTATGAATGTTTCTTTTCATGCGAAAGTGTCCCTTTTTCGATTTCTATGGAACTGTCGTGTGTCGAAATACTATCAGTATCCTGTCAAGCGAGCTTCTGAATGTAAACAAAGAACACCCCATCTGGTGACCCAAGCTTCAAAGCAGTGCTTCCCTTCTAGCGCCGGTTGGCCCCTCCTCCCTTTCCTACCTCCATGTGTCACACGACATGGTCTCAGGCCTGCGATATCAAACACAATAATTCGCAGGCACAATGTCGCAAGCACAATAATTCGTTCCAGGTGCAGAGTTGCAATACAAGAGACATAGCATAATGGAAGAAAATAATTAAAAAAAACTGTACATAATTTTACACAAATGTGTGGTTCCAAATCAAGGGAAAGCTAACTTGTTGGCATACCTGTGTGTATATTTATTAATTTTGACGAGGATTGCAGCATTTGATGGTAATTTTATTTTTAATTAACCCAAATAAGTAAAACGTGTAAGCCCAAAGTGATAATTTTTTAGATATATAAAATTAAAACGATGGATTTAAAATGAGCAGCAGTAAAGCCTCTCCTCTAAAAATTTTTAAAAGGTACATGTTACAATAATATATGGATGTGAAAAAAATTTGTTTTATTTAAAAACATTTTGGCGTTTGGAAAATAAAATAAAGTAGCGAATACTCTATCAAGGGTATCGAAAGACGTATTACAATTTTAAATGTACCGTAAGGTTTTTCATTCTTTTTAAGCATAACATTTTTCTTAAAATCTATATTTTGTAGTGCAAACAGCTTAGAATTGTATAAATTCATAATCAAAAATCGCTGTGTGTTAGTTATCGAAAAATAACCAAGATGTGATTTTTTGCGTAAATGTCACTAAACTATACAAATTGCTATTATCCATCACACTATGAATGTTTCTTTCATGCGAAAGTGTCTTTTTTTTTTTTTTTTTTTTTTTTTTTTTTTTTTTTTTTTTTTTTTTTTTTTTTTTTTTTTTTTTTTTTTTTTTTTTTCGATTTCTATGGAACTGTCGTGTGTCGAAATACTATCAGAATCTTGTCAAGCGAGCTTCTGAATGTAAACAAAGAACACCCCATCTGGTGACCCAAGCTTCAAAGCAGTGCTTCACTTATAGCGTGGGTTGGCCCCTCCTCCCTTTCCTACCTCCATGGTGAACAAGCTTTGCAATACCCTCTTTATAAAATGTCTTCGCCAATGATTGGAAGTGAGTTGTGACGGTTTCTTTCATGTAATTTTGGAAGTGCTTCGCACCAAGCCACTGCTTCAGTTAAGGGAACAGATGAAAGTCACTCAGCGCTAGATTGGGACTACATGGCGAATGTTCGAAAATGTCCCATTGAAATTGCTGAAGGAGCAGTTGGGTTACACGAGGGCGGGCATTGTCGTGGATCAGAACAATTCCAGAAGTCAGCATGCCTCTTCGTTTGTTTTGAATAGCTCTTCGTAAGCGTTGCAAAGTTTCACAATATGAATCTGCATTAATTGTTGTTCTAGGCTGCATAAACTCTACAAGCAACATACCTTTTTGGTCCCAAAAAACAGTTGCCATAACCTTACGGTTGTTAAAGGTTTGTTTGAATTTTGTGGCTCTCTTAGGAGAATTTGTGTGCATCCATAGTTGTGATTGTCATTTCATTTCGGGCGTGTCATATTGAACCCATGCCTCATCACCTGTCACAATGGATTTTAAAAACTCTTCTCCGTCAGTATTGTAACAGTCAAGAACTCAAACGCTGCAACCATTCGGCGAGTTTTGTGGTCGTCAGTCAACATCTGTGGGACCCAGCGAGCGCAAACTTTTCTATAGCGCAACTGTTCAGTAACGATAGAGTACAGGGAAGATCTTGAAACTTCTGGAAATTTCTTCGATAATTCACTTATGGTGAACCTTCGATTTTGCTTAACCGCTTGGTTAGCTCGTTGAACAATGTTGTCTGTAGCGACAGACTTGCGTTCTTGACCACCTTCATCATGCACATCAGTTCGACCATCTTTAAACTTTTGACACCATTCACGAACAATGCTATCACTCGTAAAGCTGTTTCCATACACTCGACTTATTCTTCGATGAATTTCCGCTGCACTGTTCCCTTCTGCCTGCAAGAAACGAATAACAGCTCGCAGTTCACACTTGGCGGGAGAATGAATAGTGACAGCCATGTTTGCGTGACTGCAACTCTACAGAAAATGTTGTGTTGAATACGCCAGTGACAGAGCATGTGGAGGGGGAGATGCGCAGTTGCCTACTACACACACCAACCACCTGCCGCATACCTGGCCATCATACTGTGCGATCGGAGGTTGAAAAAAACAACCTACGTATTTTACAGAGCATACTATAGTTTCAGCAGTGCAGACTGTAGTTTCAACTCTTCTTGCTGGGTGTTATGGTCGTATGTTGCTTCAAAACGATTAGCAGTTAGATATAAAATTGCTGAATGCTAGTAGTTGATATAGATTTTTAAACAAGTTAGGGTATGTTTGAGTGTGGTATTCTAGATGGTATATAGCAATTGTAATGTGTAGCAGAAAATAAATTATGTAATTTTTGTAAAACTAAGTGGGAATTTTTCAATTTTTAAAATTGTAGTTTTTTAAACCAATTATTGTTACCTCTCTTCCAGAAAATGCTTGCAGGCTTTGCAAGAAAAGTTTTTCAAGTACTTCATCATAACACAGTTGGACTGCTTATTATATGATGTGTCAAGATTCTATTTTTGCTTAATCATATTTTAATTTTTTTAGTTTTTACTATTTACTATTTTTGTTTTTGTGAATTTTATTTCATCTTTTTATTTATTTATTTTTTGATACATGGTTTATATATACTTATTCGCAAATCTTATATCTGCACTATTTTAAATTTTCATCAAAAATAAAGTAAATGATCATTTCCAGAGTCCATTGCAAGTTTCTTTGGGCAGTAAACTTTATTAATTGTATTTAAAAGTGACTCAGAAATTAAAATATATTTCATACTTGTTCTATTAGAAATTTCAGTTTTCTGTTTTAATATTTGTTTTTATAAATAGTAACCTATATTATATTTTGATTACCTTGTGGTTAAAATCTGTATGAGGTAATTCCTGTGATAATAAAGCCAACTTCTAATATGTTTAGTATAAAAATTCTTAATTATGATTTATTTTTATCTATTTCAGAATCAACACTAAAACTATGTTCAACAAGCAGTTTGGAAGCATATTTCGAACTCATCACAATCCAACTTATTTTTCTAGAAGACTTTTTAGGTATTCAGATATTTATATGTCACATGTTACTAATTTATTAAACTATGGTTTAAAACATATTTTTTATCCTCGAAGAGGTGCATTGCCTCATGAATGCAGAATACCATTTATGTGAAAATAATTGATTTTGTGTCAGTATGTTTCATTTTATTACTAGAAGATGAAATCATTGCAGTTTGCATATACCTTAAATATTTAAATTAATGCTGAACTGGAAGTGTGTTGATGTTACATTTTTTATTATGTAAAATTATATTCTAATTTAAAATATTTTAATAATTGGAAATTTTGTCTACTGTGCCATAATTTAATTTGCTCAATATTTTGTTTTTATTTAACTATGTGTGAAACATTACTTTTTACTCTTTTTTACTAATCTTTACTGGTAATAATTGTAGTTAGTGAATAATTTATGATATTCTGTTTATAGAAGACAAAACTGTATTAGAAAAAATGAATTTTTATTCTTTATATAATATACATTCTAAACTGTATGCTAATTATGTCTATATTCAGATGTGATAAAAAAAATTGTTTCATTTGCAAGTATATTTTTCATCCATATTTGCTTTAAAGATTTAGAATCTTATAATTTTTCAAAACTTGTCTGGAACTTAAATTTTTTTAATAAATTGAAACACAGTTTTGTAGTCTCCATTTGTAATTAATGTATAAATTGTGCATGTGCTTTGTAGATTAAGTTACTGTTCTTTCATGTATTTAACATTTATTTGGATTTCTTTTGAATTGTATTCTTCAAGCACAATGTTTGTTTTTAGTCTTTAAAATTAGAATCTTGAAGTGTGTTCAAGATTTGATGCATTTAACTCATTAAATCCTAAATGCAGGTTTCCAGTTTTAATATTTAATATATTTCAGTCATTAACATAAGGTTTTTAATCATGTTTTAATAATGTAGATAAAAGTAACCTGTAAAAATTAAAATGTGTTAATATTTATTGCTATTGGTGCTCAAATCAATAATCTAATGTCTTTTTAAATGGCTATTGTAACATTTTTTATAATAGCAGGTTTATTACTTGTTTATTTTAACATAAATGTGCAACAGTTTAAATCTCCCAGGCATAAAAAATTGGTTTGAAAATTTTAATTTTCTTACATCTTGAACAAGTCTTAAGTTATTTTCTGTTAAGAAAGGATGCCTGATTAAAGGCTTTTTCTTGATTTATATATTTTACAATTCATGTTATAACCAGAACAACAGCTCATTATAAGCACATCTTAGTTCATATAAATTCAATTACATTAAGTATTCAATACATTTTATTCTTTTTATTTGGTAGCTCCCATCCTGATTATCCCATATACGAGTCATTTTTTATTGAAAGGTTAAGAAAAGTACACATTTGAAGTCCCCCTCCCCTCAAAAAAATTTTCATTATTATTTTTGTAGTGTACAATTTTCTCTTGTATAAATGGTCATAAATAACATTTTTTAGCTCAAGGGGCAGGCAGTTAAACTTCTGTTATTGGTTCATTCAAAAGCAAAGCATAGTTTTCAGATTCCTGCATTTAGAAATAATTTAATTAGCACGATTTTAAGAACAGATTTTTTTTATATTATCTTTGTATTGTGGAGCTAAACCAAATATAACTGAAATTCTTCATTTTTGATGGCAAAATATATATCTATGTTTTACATTAGATTGCATAAAAATATGCCTTGCCTGGTGGTATGATAGTTTATGTTGTGAGCCAGTGTCGTGTACTTTGTATGATTTTACTTAATTATTAAACATCAAATTGCTTGATTTTTATCATCCGAATGGCAGATCATTCTACAATGCCTTTTGTATACATATTATTACTTAGATTTGCACAATAATTTTCTGTATTTCATGGCCTATGGATTGTGAGAATGGACTGTTTTATTAAAAATGTTATTAAAGAATAAAGTAATGAAAAGAAGTTAGTGAGTAAAATTAGCTATGTCATTCAGTGTGTTAAGAAATTTGAAAATATAATACATCACTAATTTTTCTTCAAAAGAGATCATCAAATAAAAAAAAAAAAAAAACAACTTAAAAACTTTGTATGTGAATTGTGATCTTTCAATGTTTTAAATTTATGTAGTTTTTCATAAACCTGAAGTGAAAATTTATTTGTTTGCATAGTCTTCTGTAGCTATTATTTTAATGAATTTAATAATTAATTTAGGTGTGAGTGTTCAACTAATACATTGCAGAAAACTTACTTTTTGTTAAATATACTTTCTGAATTTTGTATATGCAGTAACACATTATTAGATATATATTCTAAATTTTTAATTTTGAAATAGAGATAATTTGATTATAAAATGCTGTGAAATCTCCCATGATGACCATCATCCTAAGGCAGCTGCTTTTGAAAGTGATCAATATTACCTTCAACGTTTAAGAAAATGTTGATGTATATAATTATAACACTGTTCTCTAAGATAAACGTTCCTATGTCATTCAGTGTGTTAAGAAATTTGAAAATATAATACATCACTAATTTTTCTTCAAAAGAGGTCATCAAATAAAAAAAAAAAAAAAAAACACAACTTAAGAAAAAACTTTGTATGTGAATTGTGATCTTTCAATGTTTTAAATTTATGTAGTTTTTCATAAACCTGAAGTGAAAATTTATTTGTTTGCATAGTCTTCTGTATCTGTGTTTTAACACTATGGAATTGGTTTGATATTGTAGGGTTTTAATGCTCACAATGAAGGCATGCTTCTTTGTCAGTGCTTTGGCAGAAAGGGAATCACTTAACTATACTTAAACTTATAATTAACTAGTCCTTGCTACTGAAATGCATTGTTTATTGATAATTACTAAATATACAATTATTTATCAATTAGTAGTATTTTAATTTTTAATTGTGGTGTAATTTTCTAAAATTACCTTGAATTGATTATGTGACAAATTAATACTGTTGAAGTTATTGAAATTGTAGCTTAATAAATTGTCTTTAATTTATGTTTATATTAAATATTTGGTTTGGAATTCAAGTATTCAGGTATTGCTAGATTTAATTTAAATTTTATTCTGTAAATGTTCAAGCCATATTTAAGTAAGGTAATGGAAAGTTAGTATCTTCTAAAGAATAACTATTGTATCACTATTTTTTGGTTCAGTGTAATGCATCTAAATATTTATTAACTTTTCTACTATTAATATTCTTTATTGGCTAAAACATTTTCATATAGCATAAGCTATTTGATCAACTTCTGATCATATAAAACTACTAAAAAATAGTACACCTAACTCTTTTTTTTTTTTTTTTTTTTTTTTTTTTTTTGTTTTTGTTTTTTACACGATTTGGAAGTTGCATAATTCATCAATAAAATAACACATGTATGCATGATGTGGTAGCATGTATGTTCTATACAGAATATAGATGAATTGTTTTAAAAGTTTCTGTAACAGTTATGGTTAGAATTGAACAATTGGATAATTGAAGTTAAAGAAAAAATTATATTAAGGGCAAGTTTTCTGATAATAAAAATTCAAAAACAGAATTTGTACTTGAAACAGAAAATAAAACCATGAAGTTAAGTTCTCATTCAGATACTATTATCAATATAAACTTAAAATCATGAAGCTGCAAGTTAAAATTGTTAACTGCTTGTAATTTTTAAAATTCAGAAGTTCTGTTATTGTTGTTGAAGCAGAAAGAGTCTTAGAAGGAAAGAAGCAAAGAAATCTGTTGAGTTAAATTTTGGTTTGAATTATCCAAACAAGTGTGGTTATAATTTTCAAAATAAGGTATATGAATTGTCAGAAATTTAAATAATTTTAGAGAAAAGAATGATTAACCAAAATATTTAACACGAGCAGGGATACTTTATTTCATGGATATTTTAATGTGTATTAAGCTTTTTGTTACATTAGTAAAAGTTTGTAACTCAAAATTTGCATAATTTTTGTTCTAGTGTTGATCCAATTTAATTTTAAAATTTAATTCTCTTGTAATATTTCAAAAATTTGAAAAGCATAAATTTTTTAATGTTTTGGTCTTATTTCTATGATTCACTAACTTTCTCATCTGTAATAATTTTTATAGTATTAAATATATAAATGCAGTACATTTATTATTTTTTAAAACTTGTATCAAAAGTATTGGATAGGCCAAATACATTGTGGCATATAATCATCACCCCCTTTCCCGTCAAAAAAATAATCTTTAGCCAAGGGTGATCATCATAGATAGATTTCACCGCATGTTTAAGATTTACTTTTTAAGTATATGAACATTTAAAATTAGATTATATTTAGCTTCAACATAGCTAAAGGTAATGTTTTAGGGTACAGTAGTTAGATAACTTTTATATTTAAAGAAATTTATCATTTGTATGTACTGAAGTGATTATAAAGTTGAATGTTTTGAGATTAAAATATATATAGATGTACTTTGGCCTAACTATAATGTACTTTACGTTGAATTTTTATTATTGTAATCATATATAATAAAATAAAAAAAAATTGTGTACTAAAAGGAATTTTCCTATTTTAAAGTGTGGAGGTCAAGCTAAAATTATCAATTAGGCAATATTACTTAGAACACACGAATTACATAAATATTATGCAAACGGAAACTGCTTAATTTTAAGTCGTAAATTAAATCTGTGAAGCTAAGTCTAAATATTCAGTAAATATCAAAACTGATTACTTTAAATATAATTTCCATGTTGCCAAATTGTAACCAATAGGTATCTTTGTTTCAGATTATACCATACATTTTTTAATATAAAATCTAAAATATGTGATTAAAAATTAAAGCTAGTTTATATGCAGCTGAAAATAAAATTTCATCTAATATATCACATTAATAAAATATTAAAACATTTTGCGTAAGAAACTTACTAAAAGTGCCAAAATTTATTTCCAAACCTGCCAATTTTGTTGATTTTTCATGCCTTGTCTATCTTCTACCAGAAATGCGTTAGAAGTCTAAGATAATTCATATGAAATATCTAGTGTTCATAATAATCCTAACTGATGTTTTGATCACAGTAATCATTTTGTTTTTACAATTAGCTTTATGTTTTTCATGTGTGTATATAAAGGATAAATACGTAAAACAAAATTCTAATTTTAATTTGCATTAGTCTTATAGTTCTTTATTTTAATCTTAATATTTCTGCTTTTTCTTCTAAAAATAGTAATTGCTTATGAGAAATCTTTAAATGGCATCATTTCAAGATTAATGCCATCGTATGACTTTCACATAGGGTTGGTGACTAGATGGCTTTTGAAATTGAAACTCAGCCAGCCAATACTAATTTCAGAGCATTATTAATTAGCCAATCAAATTATATTGAAATTAAAATTATCCGACTCTGAATTAAGATTTCATCTTGAATACTTTA